CCAAAACCGATTAGTTCAAACGTTCACGGAATACTAACCAAATTAAAAGTCCAAACATAAACGGCTGTCCTTTTATATTATACATGTTGATTGGTTTTATCGCAAAAAGAAAACGACCAATCAGCATACTTTCAAATCCTTAAGTATCCTTTTTGCGCACGAAAAAGATTGCGATAATGATGACTTTAAAAATTAATAAAGGCAAATTCACATGTTTTTGTAGATCTTCGATTAATTTTTAATGTTTCATGTTAAATATTGATTTTAATAATATATTCGATTATTAAAAAATAATAAAATTATTTTAAATACTAATGTTTAATTAAACTAAAAAATAGTTTCTCTATATAAACATAGATAGATATCATGAAATTATACCAGATTATATTAATATTTATTTGACTTTGTCATCTTCAAAAAATTTAAGAAGATCATCATTAAATTTTCAAATGAAAATCTATATTTTTTATTGCATTAATTAATTTTATAGCGTATAATAAAACTATTTATTTATTTATATTTCGTATATAAATCGTTTTCGAGAGATTAATATTTAAAATTGATATTAATAACATTAAATTTTGTAGACATATTGTAAACAATATTCATTATTACTTTATTAAATTTCATTATAATTTAAAAATAATCACTTATATTTAAAATTCATATCTTAATAACTTGTGTGAAAAGATACTAGTATTATTTTAAAAAGTATTATTTCGTTTATGAATAAATATGCAATTACAAATATTTCTATATATTTAATCTATCCAGAATTTTTCAAAATTAAATATAATCAATATAAATTAGTAAGATAAGATATTGATATTACAATTTATTTTCTAATTATATTAACATGTTTTTTTATTTTTAATACTTCTCAAAATATTTAAGTTTTATTTAAATTAAATAGTAAGTAGTTCATAATTAATTAAATTAAGATTGGATATTAAATTAAGATTGAATATTTATCCAATCTTTTATTGTAGTATTATTAATTTAATATAATATTAAAAAATACTTATATATTTAAATAATACATATTAGTATATGAATTACATATAAATTTTTTTGACAAATAAATTGTTTGTTGTATTATATTTATTTATAATAAATATAATATTAATAAATTAAATATTCAGATTATCATAGGACATCATTAAAACAAAGAAATATATATTAATTGTTGATTTTAATTTCAAGAACTGAAGCTAAAAATGAAATATTTGTACATTATGTAATAACATAAAATATAACTTATACATTATCATAATTTAATATTATGAAAAGGTCCTAACACATTATAAAAATGATTTCTTGTATTTTTTATAGTGCTTTATTTTCTCTATTTATCAATAACTACTGTGATTTGATATTACATATTTGACTTTTCACATAAAACAATTTACAATTTAGTTAATAAGTTTTTTTAATATTACATTGGCAAGAATTATCATTGCTTTTATAATTTTAATATTTTCAATATTAATGAATAAAATAAATTAAATTAACAATCCTATATATTAATAAAGATATGAGAGTATTTTTTATTAAAAATATGTATACAACATATTTGATCTAAAACTAATTAAACGAAAATCATTAATTGTAATAAAGATATATTGCACTTTATAATTTATAAAATATATAAATATCAAAAAAATTTCATAGTACTGTAATTTCATATATTAATATATTTTCATTATTTAATCTTTTCATTTTTAAATAATTTGAGTAATTCAATATAGCTAATTTAGTTAATATAAATCTTGAAAATATATTTATTGAATTAATTTAAAATTGTTTGAATAATTATTATGAAATACACTAATATTCTAAATTATAATAACATATATAATTATACATATATAATTATAAATATATAATTATACATATAATTATAAGTATATATATATATATATATACATACTTATAATTGTTAATCCTGTACATAATTCAGCGCTCTCACATACAAATATAAATATTTATATTATATTAAAGAATGATATATATTAAATATATAATAAATATTTATAAGTTAAAGATAATTAATTGTTACTAAATTAGTTATTAGAAATCAGACACAATTTAAGTATTATATATATTATAATAATATATTCAATCAATTAACATTAATTTATAGTTACTGCAAAACAAATAAAAATTTAGCATAGATATATTTTAATATTGCAACTTGATACTTCTAATTACATTTCACATTTAAATATTCATCCTCTCAATTACCAAAAATATTGAAAAATTTTCAATTATTTTAAAATAGTAAACTTTTATTATATACAATAACATTCATCATATTAAAAACACATAAAAATTAAAAAAAATTTATAACTTGCTTAAATTTTTTTCTTATTAATTTTAAATGTCATTTTTGAAATTAAATTTATCTATTTTGCACAACATATTAATATTGAAAATAAAATTCAATGAATTGCTTCTAAACGGAATATATAGAACATGAAATATTTTCTACTTTATGTGTGCATATTTAATGAAAGCATTTTTTTTTTTATGCATTTGATGATTGATTATGGCAGTTACATTCAATATGATATGCCTGCACCAATTCCATTATATTATACTAAATTTTATTAGATAAGATTTTTTTATTTTTTAAAGCAATTGTTGTTTAATGCTTTATGAGTTATTAATTTTATATATGTTTACATTATATTTTTAAAATAAAAATAAATTTTATTTTGCACAAAAATATGAATATAATATAGAAATGCTACAAATTTCTTTCTTAGTGACAGTATTAGCTAAAGAAATTTTTTTATAAAATTAACTAAATAAATTCATTTTTTATTATAAGACATATCATAAGACATATTAATAGCATATTAAATAAAATATTAAGTTCTGAAAAAAATATTTTATATAATTGAAACAAATTTTTCTTTAATTTTTCAAATTATAATAACTCCATTTATATGAATCTGTTTATAGAAATAAACATATAATCAGCTGTTCATATAATAGAAGTCTAATTCTTTGCATCAGCTCTCTATGATTTTTTTTCTAATTAATAGGAAGTTATGTTTATAAAAAGAATTCATGAATATTTATAAACAAAAGAATTCTTTAAAACATATAATAATATATCAAATGTTATAAAAATTAATTTTGCAAAAACTGTCTATTATTTAATAAATAATTTTTAACTTATTTTATATTGTAAATATGATTTATACTTTTAATTAGTATTATAAAGATATTCATATAAGTGGAATGATGCTTGGCAATAATTCATATAAAGAATTTAACTAAAATTTAAATAAACCAATTTATCTATAATATTGTTCATATAAATGGAGTTATATATATCTCATTATAGTTGAAAATAGAAATTCGTATTAAGAAACAAAATGAAATGATAGTAAATGCTGCATATTTTTCGATTATTTTATATACTTTTATATAAATGTAAATTTAAAAATATAATAAAGATTTTTTTTTAAATAGCATTTTATTATATTTCCAAATATACTAATCAATTTGTATTTTTTCACCATATTTTTTATTTAGAAATTATTAAGTTATTTATATTCTAAAACTATTAATTTAAAAGTTAATTTAAAATTTAATATTATACCATTATAATGTTTAAATATAAATCAATTGCAAATATTTAATAATATAAAATGTATTAATTATTAAAATTAATAAATTTATAATATTTTATTATTAAATATTTTATAAGGTAATGATTTTCCATAGCACTAATATGTTAATATATAAAAATAATTTAATATATTTAAAATAGAAATAATTTTAAAACTATTAGATTTAGAACACAAATATCTTAAGTCTACTTATGATCAAAATTAAAATATATAAAAAAAAGTTAATATACTTTCAAGTTCTATTAATTCACATAATTTTTAAAAACTATATATAAATATAATTCTTAAATTATCATAATATAGTTATTATATATTAAATTTCGATTTTAATTTTCAGACATTTTAATTATTATTTTTGTACAATATTGTTTCTTAATTTTTTTTTTGAATATTTATTCATAATTTTTTTATTTTATTACTTGTCACTTCTGACCAAAAAAAATATTTTTATCACATATGTGTTATGCGATTATTTAGTCTAGAATATATATTATAAATTATATATATTACATCTTTAATTTTGAATATAATATTTTTCTGTAACTAATAATTAAATTTCATTAAAAATAAAAATAAAATTGCACTTTTCAAATATACATAGAATATATTTTTCTAAATAAAGAAGCGATATAGAAAAATGCAGCGTCTAATAACATTTTATTTTGCTTTATACCATTTTTTATATTATTTTAAGAATATCTTATTTCAGTTATATATGAGATATATGAGCATATAAAATACATTAAAATTAAACATTATATAATAAAAGATATAAATAAATGCAATATGCATATTAATTGTTCTATTTTTTATGTTAAATTTGTAATTAAATTATTAATTTCACATTTAATTTTGACTTAATATTCTATTGAGCAATAATTATATAAGATAATATATATCATATAATTTAATTCATTATATTCTTGAAGAAAGAAATATGTAATAATATTTTATGTATTCATAAATTTGTAAAATTGATTAGGCCTCATGTATTAATAAACTTATAACTTAATAATCTATGATATTTTATGCATAATTATATATATCATATAATGTTATCTAAAAAATGGCAAATATTTTATAGATAAATAAACAATAATTTTTATATAAAAAATTAAGATATTTATATGGCACAAAATAAACATAATCTATGAGTATCATAGGTCATAAAATATAATTCATTAAAATTTTTCATCAAATTTCCCAATTTTAATATCATTTCTAAATTATTTCATATAATGACTAATTTCTTTTTTTTTTATAAGTGATTTATATACTTTTATACATAATTTTTTAAGTGATTTACGTAATATATAATACTAAATTGCAAATAATGTGATATTATATGTAGCAACATTTTTTTTTATATATTCTTCTTTAATTTATATTAAGATTCGAGCACCTTATTTGAATTGAGAAGTTCCTACATAACATATTTTTCTATTGCTTTTTTAATGAGATATTATAATTATAAATGAATGTATTTCAATTATAATTTCAATTATAATTGAAATTGATTTTTCTAGCAACATATTCTTTTTACATCTTTCATAATAAATTTCAGTGAATTTGTGTATTTCTTCGACGGATCATTTTGAAATTAGATCTACTACGAGAAGTAGTATTCTGTTGATGTTGTACTTAATAATGAATATGTATAAATATAAAACACTGGTTGTACAATTTATATATAGTTCATAGTATAAAATAAGTTTCTAAATATTATTATTTTATATAATTCTTGATTTTACCTTTGAAAAAAATTTTATATTTTCTTTGGCAATCCCACAGCAAAATGAATTATGCCTATAATTATTTTGAATTAAAAATTATTTAATTGAATAATTTTTGTTATTTAAAAAATTGAATTTTATTTTTAATTTTTTTTATTAAAAAAAATTATAATTAAAATTATTAATTTGCAATACTTACTTGTCACTTCTGACCAAAAAAAAAAAGATTACACTTTTATTGTATAATACAATTTTTATTTCGTTGAGCTAAACCAGCTCTAGATAAATTACGTTCTATTTCATCATCATCTTCGATACTGAAATATAATAAGAAATAAATACAATATCATTTGATATTTATGAAATATAATAAATATAAAACGAATTCTTTTTTTTTTATTTATCTTCAGAAAAACAAATATTTAATGAATTATTATTTTTAATATTTATTGATTTGTAAGACTTAGTTAAAAACATATAAGTAATATAAATGATTAAAATAAAATTAAATTATATAAATTAATAATTAATACTTACGCTCTTTCTTGTGTATCAAGATGATGAACTAATTCATCTCTCTTATTTACTATTGAAACTAGCTCCTCTAAAAGTAAATTTTCTCGCATTTTTTGTTCAGAAGTTTTTCTCCATTCTTCTACTGCTAATATACTTCTCAATTCACGATTCAATAATTCAAACCGTCGTTCTAGATCGTCTTCTTTTTCTCTAAAATTAAAATCGATAAAAAAATTGATAAAAGATATTTAATTATTATTAATTATATTTGACATAATTAAATAAATAAATAAGAAGTTTCTTACAATATATTCAATTGCATTTGTCTTCTTAATAACGCATTTTTTTTATTAACAAGTGTAAACCAAAGAGACATTAATCTTTCTGTTTCATCTTCATTATCACTTTCCATTGCAGCTCGAAGTTGTTTCTCAAGTTTACCAGCTTGAATATCTATTTGAGTTTGTTCTCTTTCTAATGCTTCTAATTCATTTTGAATATAAGATGACATGTCTTTTCCAAACTAAATACAAAATAATTGCATTGAAGTATTCAAAGTACAATTGAAATATTTAAATAAATTAGTTTGAAATATACCCCTCTAAGCGTATATGAAGTACTATCTGGGCTAGTTTTATCTGGAGAAATTCTTTCTATTATTTTAGAAAATGAGAACAAAGGAGAACCTGTTTTTTTTTCTCCATCTATTATATTTGGAGTTCCTAGAGTATTTCCATTGTATTCAGACTGAAATATTTATTATATATTATAAATATATATTTTAATATAAAAAATGTAAATTTTTTAATAACATCAAAATTTAAATCATTTAATATTAGACATATACATGATGTAAAACATTATTTATTTGAACTTAACTATTTTGA